GAGGCCATACTCTTAAGTGAAATAAATAGGACACACATGTGTAAACACCGAATAGTTTCACTAGTGTGAGAGACTGATAGTGTAAACAAGGGTTAAAATAATTAAAATGAATAATTGATCCTTTGAAATAGGAAAAAAGGTCCAAAGATGAAGGAGTGAAGGGATGGGAAGGGGAAAGGAAAAGAGGGAAAGGAAAAACTATGAGGAAAGAAAAAGAAATGGAAATGAAATCTATGTAAATAGGGAAGGGCGGAGGAGGTGAAGGGTGCCAGGTAATGGGGAAAAAAAAATAAGAACCAAGATACATCATGTTCAGGTACAAACACCCAATGATAAACGTAAATAAATTGTATACCTAAAATGTACCAATAAAAGAACTAATAAAAAAAATGCAAAGCAGCCAGGGATTTTAGCTCAGTGGTTCTGCCGCCCACCTCGCAAGTGAAAGGATCTGAGTTCGATCCCTGGTACCAAAAAAAAATAAAACCTGAAATAAAAATGCAAAGCACATGGGAGTTCTGCTTCAATGCTTTCAATGGCTCCCTACTTTCCTAAGCATAAAGCTCTCAGTCACTGCTCTCTCTGTTTACCTCTCTAGACCATCTTGCCCTACTATTGCTTCACTTCCCAGCCTCCAGCCAGAATTGCTTTATCCTGGTTGTTTTAACATAATCATTCCCTCCCCATCAGGCGTGCACGCTGTGCCCTGTGCTGCCAGCTCCTCCTCTTCCCTCTTCGGTTGTTCATTTGCCATCTGTTAAGCACCTATGCAGAAACTGAATCTCTGCATTTACTGATCCAGCTCACAAAGCTCTATTCATCAGGCTGTATTCTGTCTGTCTTCTAGGTAGTATCAGCCAAAAGGATGCTTCCTCAAGGAGGCTCTTGTTGACCCCAGTCATAACCTCTAACCCACAGATACACAATACAAGAACACACATACCCATAGCACCTACACTTCTCTTACAGATTAACTAGTCAAAATCTGACTTCCTCACCAACTGAGCTTCATGAAGGTAGGGCCAATGTCTTTCTGACTCATCCCACAGACACAGTATGCAACATCACAGCAGACACATAGGACGAACTCAATAAACTTAGATTGTATTTAATTGAATCCTAGATCCCAGCCTCTCTGGTATAGCTCCTCCAGTAGACTTGAGCCCTGTAGACCCAGGCTCTGCCATAAGTTCCTTATCCACCCCCTCTTCCTCTTTGAGAGCACAAATTCTGTGGTTCCCCATCTTCCAGTAAATACATCCATTCCTACAGAGTTCTGAAAAGCTATTAAATTCTCCCACATCTTCAGTGGAAAACAAAGTTCTTTGCAACCTTCAATTCTACCTCATTCTATTTTTAAGAGATCTGTCCACATTCCCACATTTGTTCTTTAATCAGTATAAACATTTAGCTTTTGGGCCGGGGATTTAGCTCAGTGGTTCTGCCACCTGCCTTGCAAGCGCAAGGTCCCAAGTTCAATCCCCAGTACCCACCCCACCCCACCCCAAAAAAAACAGGCCTGGCTCTGCCCAAGTGCTTCACCTCTCCTCCAGGTGGACCCACAAGTCACTGAACTGCCTGAGACACTACCTCTGATGCAGGCACCTCAGCTTCTTCCGGAACTTCTGCTCCTCCCTACCCAGTAGGTTGGCACTTCTAGGCAAGGACACCTGGCGAGGCAGCTGGGAGGGCACCACAGACACAGATTCTGGTGCCAAGGCTTCTGGACCGACACTTCCGGGTCAAAGATGGGGGATGAGGTGTGTTGGGAAAAGGGCCTTTCACTCCTCTCTCTGTTAGCAGGAGTGGACAGTGGAAGCATTTGGGGAGCATCACACAACATTACTCCCTCCCAGCTCTTACAGCCCACAACTTTAAGAGAGCCAGATAACCCGAAAGTGCGAGCCTGCCAAGGAGGACAATAGTTACCTGGTTCTCAAAGCCACTTCGGAATTGATCACTTTCACGCCTGTTTCTCCCTCACATATCCTCACTGCATTCTCTCCAAATCCCCTAGCTTTGGGGATAAAGATCTAAGATTATTTTTAAACTGCATATAATTATTGCACTTTCCCAATGAAAGGTCAGCACCGTCTACAAAGTCACTGAAGATTATAACATTTAAAGAAAAGTGAGGAATGTTTAGATGTCATTTGCTTTGAAAAAATTTTGGGTTTTTTGTTTTGTTTTTTGGTACCGGGGATCGAACTGGGGTCCTTGTGCTTGCGAGGCAGGCAGCAAAACCACTGAGCTAAATCCCTGGCCCTGAAAAAAATTTTTAAGTGGACCTTAACTGTGATACTCCTTCTGTACCCTTTGAGGACTCTATTCAGAAAGAGTCTCTCTGGTGTTGGCAGCCCCTCCATCCCCAGGTGAAGTCTTCACAGGACTGGCTTTTAACCACCTCACCCCAGGCCTGCCCTTAAAACATCCTTCCCAAAGGGAACATGTTTTCACAAATTATGAGAAACTCAAATTTGCTTCTAGGTCTCCCTAACTGTGACTCTTTCAGTGAAAAAAGAAGTTTCTACAATAGAGGTTTTGTCAAGGGTTTGGTGTGGAGAGGAAGGGTACAGTAAGAGAAGAATTCAGCCACTAGGGGTCAGTCTCATTGCCTCCTCTGCGGGCAGTGAGGGCCTTGAAACTCATCATCTGCCTGAGGAAGCAGTGGATGTGCCTGCCATGTTTGGGACTTTCCTGCTCCAGTTCGGTGCAGGCAACCAACATATGTAAGAACTGTTACTCTGATTCGGCCTTGTTCAATCATCTGCCTGCCAGAAGCCAACCACAGTTCTGAACTACAACCGGACAGAACCTGACAAGTCAGTTACTATAATGGTCCTATGTGAGGAAGAGAAGAGAGATAAAAAAAAAGCAAAAAGGAGAAAGACCTAGGATAAGCAACTGTATAAAAGAATGGAATCCTCAAGAGGTAAAGGAAAAATAAAATACCCCTACTCTGAACCTGAAGCTGAGGACCCCAGAAACATAAAGTCACAGCTAGAAGGTTTCTGGAGTACAAGAGCTACTACACTCACTACCGTCTCCAGAGCCCAGCATAATGCCTAGCACATAACTGTAACAGCACTTAGATAAACCCCTTCATCACTCCAACAAAGAAACTGGGGCCCCCAGAAGGAGGGTACCCTACCTAAGGCTCCCCAAGATTCAGGTGGCCTCATAGAAGATTCAGGGGGAAATGATCAGACAACACCCATGCCCAGGCCCTGTGCTCAAGCACAGACTACATCTTGACATCCTTGGCCTCCATATACCCCAAACAGGCCCTAGTACACAGTAAGCACTCAAGAAAAGCCTGTTGCTCTGACTTAGCAAAGAGCATAGCCTTGAACTCACTAGAGCTGTGCTCTATGAAGCAGTGGATCTCTGCAGTGGGACAAATCACAGCTTTCTTTTCAACTCACAACAGACAGAAGACTTCAAGCCATTTATTTAAAAAAAGTCAAGGCCAAGGCTTGAAGACCAAGTTAATGACCCTCTCCTCTATAGTAGTGGAGGGAAAGACTAAGAACAAATTAGCTTCACTCTTCCTGGGTTTTTTCCTTTTATTTATGAGCTCAGGGGTGATGAGGAATCATAACGACCACTTTATAATTGAGAAAAATGAAGAGCAAGAAATTAAACGGACTTTCCTGAGGTCCCAACAAGTATTCAGTGCCTTTTTTTTAGTACTGGGGATTAAACTCATGATCTTATGCTTGTAAGGCAGGCAGCAGAACCACTAAGGTAAATTCCCTGCTTCAGTGCCATTTTTAAATAACATTCATTGTCAAGATTTTTGTCATGACATAAAGCTAATCCAATCTCATTATAAAAACATAGAGAATTATAGGTTAGTGTCCCTGTAATCTCTAGGACGGTATCTATACACGTACTCTAGCTTGGATTCTTTAAGGGTCCCTGAAGCATTAGGAGTGGCCACTTTTCTGCCAGGAACAGAAAATTCCAGCTGTAGAACAAAAGCCGATCCATCCCAAGACTTCTGGGCTAGCTTGAGCTTGTATTCCAGATTACTGTTAGTCTTGACCATCAGCTTGACTATAGTAAGAGACATCTGGAGAGGCGACTGGGATGTGAATTTCATCTATGGGTTATTGTCGCCAAAGCCCAACATAATCCCTGGCAGAGGAAAGCTGGGAGAATCCTGGCTCCTGGGAAGACTGGCTCAGGAAAAGCACATTTCCAGGCTGACTGCAGTGAGGGAAAGGAGAGGAGTTGGCGGGAGATGATGTGAGGTGGAGGTGAGCCTTCTGGGGAGGGCACCTAGAGATGGGCCGCCATGGGGCACACAGCATGACGGCCCTTCTATCAGAAAGGTAGACAGACTACTCTCACCATTGTGGAGGCTCTGCCAGGAGAGGGTGCTAGTGACCACCAATCTAGGAGCAGGGGTGAGAGGAACGGAGAGGGCATTAAGGGCTGAAGTGTGCCAACCCCCTATTCATATATTGAAGCCCCATTGCCTACTACTTCACAACGTGACTATTTGGAAGCAGAGCCTTTAAAGAGATGTGTCAGTTAAAATGAGGCCACTAGGATAGTGCCCGATCCAGTGTGACTAATATCTTATGAGAAGAGGAAGAGAGAGCAAGGCCATTTTCTCCATTTTCATGTAGAAAAAACCATTCAAAGAGAGAAAAGATGCTGCCTGCAAGCCAAGGAGAGAAGCCTCAGAAAAAAACAAACCTGTAGACACCTTCACCTTGTCCACAGCCTCCAGGCATAGTTTAAACCACCCAGTCTGTGGCATTTTGCAAGCAGCCCAAGATGATCAACACAAGCAGGAGGGAAAGACCACTCTGCCCACTGGACCTGGGCACAGGGTGGAAGTGCAGCTGGGAGGCCAGCATGGGGCCCTGCTGAGGAGGGGAATTTGGGCCTCCTGAGTTCTCTACAGAGGGCCCCACAGGGGCAGGCGATGGTTCTGCATAAAAATGAGACCCAAGCTATGTGTGACGGCGCAGCCTGCAGTCCCGGCACTCTGGGAGACTGAGGCAAGAGGATAGCAAGTTTGAGCCCAACCTGGGCAGCTCAGTGACTTAGTGAGAGGAGTCAAAATAAAAAGTAAATAAATAAAAGGGCTAGGAATGTGGCTCAGTGTGAAAACCCTGGGCTCAATTCCCAGTACTGAGAGGGCAGGGGAGACAGAGATGAACACAGACACAGTCCTTGGGAGGAGGAAACAGCTCAGAGAAAGAGAAGGAGTTTTACTTCTTGCCCCAAAAGATGCCAGGCAAGCACTCCTCGAACTTCCAGCTCCTCTTTTTCACCAGTTATGGCCTGATTCACCATTCCACCACCCCAAAACTTCTGAAATGCTTAGGTCAAAGGAAACTGAGTATTTAAGCCTAAAGACCCTTCCCGGGGCCCCCAGGTACCCCCAGGACCCAGGCAACCTTCCCTGCACTGTTCTTTCCTCCATAAACACTGCTGAGAAAGAGGCCCCCAGCCACCCTGCCTGACACAGCCCCGGCCACACCAGCTCCAGCTGAGGGTTTGTCCAGTGACCAGTTCTCCCAGGCCCCTGGAGCCACCCTGGCACCCGGGCAGCCCTGTAGGGGGTCTCACTCCCCTCACAGATCCCCAGTAGGGCAGAAACAGGAAGGTTACTTGCTGATGGGTCGTCCAGCGGAGGTATGTTCCACCTCATAGCCTTTGCACAGCAACACATCCAGCACTGTGTGGTTGCCCATAAAGTGACCTGCAGTAAGCAAAACAAGCAGAAAGGCTGCAGCTCTCAGGACCACAAAACCCAGGCCCAGAACAAGAAATTCCCCAGACCACCCCTTCCCATCTTCCCAGCCCAGTACAGCTCTAGAGAGCTGCTGGAATCAAGCCAGGCAGGGCAGGATAAGCAGGATTTCGGAGATGAGGACACTGAAGATCAGAACAGTGCACTGAGATGCCTGGAGCCACACAGCCAAGGGAAGAGGGTGCCTAGACATCAAATCCCAACCCAGCAGACATGACATGCGAGCAGGATCCTAAAGGATGGGGGCCACTCTGGGGAGAATAAGGGAGTTCCCAAATGTGAGGAGGAATGCAGGTGTGCTCTCAGGAAGACTGAGGGAGCAGCTAGTGCTCATCATTGCTTTCTAGGAAAAGCTCAGCCCCTGGTGTGAGATCTGCCCTTCCTCCAGGTCTCTAGAGGACAAGCCCACTGTCATCTCAGGTGCCACAAACAGGGACCCCAGGAGCCTGCAGTAGCACCACAAATAGCAGGGAGGCCACCAGAAGGAGCGCAGAGAACTTGGCCCCTGGTTTCACTATGCACAGAAGGGAGTGTCCACAGGTCAGGACTCGTGAAGGATTCATGGCTCTCCGCCTGGTGTTTCTTAGCAACCACTGTGTCCCAGGCCCACCTCTCACTCAAGACCTTGCCTTGAGGGCCAAGGATTTAGCTCAGTGGTTCTGTCGCCTGCCTCGCAAGAGCAAGGACCCGAGTTCAATCTCCCGTACCAAAAAAAAAAGCTTCCCTTGAGAGGAACAAGAGTCCCCACCCTGAGTGGAGAAGCTTGGCAAAACCAGTCCCTTCCATCCAGCCCTCTCCTCTCTGCACCACAGACACGATTCTAACCAGAAACAGATGCCAGTCCGGGGGCACAGCTGTGACCTAGAGGGGAGGGAGTAGGAGGCTAAGGCCACCAGCAAGGTAACCCCTGGCAAGCCAGAAGCCCAAAAGTCAGCATGAGCTGATTTAAGATGGACAGCTAAGTAAGAAAAATAGTCCTGTCTTTCACCACTCATAGCAGGGTATTTATTTATTCAAGAATAAGGGGAGGGCATTGAGGACAAGTGGATACAGTTCCCACAGAGCACCTCTGGCTTCAGTTTCTCTCCTACTCCAAAAGTGAGCTCCATTTCCCATCTCCTCACTTTGTCTCCCGACCCCCATGAAAAAAGTTGCTGTTTCATTTTGAAGCTCCGAGCTTTCAGTTGTTGGTTATCCTCATTTTGGGATTAACATTTACCAACCACACAATTTTTTTTAAATTCCAAACTGCCAAGGGTAAAGGTTTGAACAGTTGTTCCCTTTGCTCAAATCTACCTTATAAGGCACAAGAGGAAAGAAGCCCCAGGAAAGTAACGTGACCCTAGAAGGAGCCATCCTGAGTCCGGCTGACACCAGGGTTCCCAGGGCTGTGAGACTTCTACCAGGACTACAGCAGCACAATAAATTGTCCCCTTAGGATCAGGAAAGCCCAGGTGTCACATGTCACCCTGCCATCTGCCAAGCACAATCACATCCCAAGGGCCTGCTCTCCGAACAGCTCAGATCAAACTATGCAGCCCAGCCTCCACCAGCAGAACATTTCCCCTCCACCCAGTACCTCAGTATGTGACACTGTACATAGGGGAGCTTTCGAGAGAACAACTGAGGAGGCAGGGAAGGCAGAGTCTGAGACTGGCCCCCTTGGCCCCAGCATCTCCCACATGTCAGGCACCCATGTCCCTTTCACCCATGCAGACCAGGATGGGACACTGGGACAAAGCACCAGCTCCGTTACCTAAAGTTCCCACCAGCCATGGTCAGGGTCCCTTGCAGGCAAGGCCTCAGCTGACCACTTTGTCAGAGAAAGCCTTTGGGGGAGACAGGCTAGACATGAGCACAGCGCAATGACACATACAGAGCACAATGCAGACACGCACATGAGACAAACCAAGGGGGAGACTACTCGGCCCAGGTGCTGCGGGAGGCAGAAGCTGCGGGTTTGTGGTGAAACTCTTCAATGAGTAAGATGTAGAAGCCAAGGTCCTCTTTGTTAAACAACAGCTTTTATTTAAATCTAACTCACAGAAAATAAAATTCATCTTTTTAAAGTGTACAAGTCACTGATTTTTAGTATATTAAAAGTTGTATAATCATCATTGTTATTTCAAAACATTTTCATCACTCCCAAAAAGGAAACTGTACCCATTAGCAATCATTCCCTACTGCTCCTTCCCGCTGCCTTCAACTACTAATGTACTTTCTGTCTCTAAAGATTTGCTTGTTTGGAATATTTTATATGCATATTCTCATTCAATATGTGGAATTTCCAGTTGGCTTTTTCCACTTAGGACAATGTTTTCTAAGTGTATCCGTGTCATAACATTCATCAGTACTTGTTGGCTTTGTATGGCCTAATATTATCCACTGTGTGGACAGACTATCTTTTATTTATCCATTTGTCAGTTGATGGACGCTGAGGCTATAATGCATAACACTGCTAGGAACATTTGTGTTTGAGTTTGTATTCAGGTATGTTTTCCATTTTCCTGGGTGTCTATCTGAGAATCAAAATCCTGAGTCAAACAGTAGCTCTATATTTAATTTAGAAAACTGCCCAACAGCTTTTCAACACGGCTGCCCCACTTTCCATTCCACACAGCAATGTAACAAGGTGCTTATTTCTCCACATCTTTGACTAAACTTGTTACTATCCACCTTTCACCTAGAGTTATAGCAAACAAGCCTGTAATGGTTGTACACTAAAATGAACTACCACAAACTGGGTAATTTATAATCAATAGGGATCTATTTCTCACAGTTCTGGAGGTAGGAAGGTCCAAGATCATGGCTAGGCATCCAGGGTCTGGCAAGGGCCTTCCTGCTGCCTTCTCACAGGGCAAAAGAGGTGAATGCTGTCTTCTCTCGTGGTGGAAGTCAGAAGGGCAAAAACAGGACCTAAGCTAGCACTCACTCTCTGGGCCATAAGGCACCAATCTACTCATGAAGATTGACTCCTCATAGCTTAATCACTTATAAAAAGGCCCCACCTCTTAATACTACCATAATGGAGATTAAAAGTTTCCACACAGGTATTTTGGGAGACAATCAGACCATAGCAAAACAAGGCCCAACTGAGCCAAATTAACATAAAACTGTACACTATAAATAGTCTTGTATCAATTTATGACAGGAAAATATTCTGAGAAATGAGTCCTTAGGTAATTTCATTATGATGCCTATAAGGTAGTACATGACAGAGTGTCCCATCTTATGGGACCACCATTGTGTACATAGTTTGTCATTGAGTAAAATGTCCCTGTGTGGTGCATGGCTCTGTTTACTTCAGTTCCCAGTGCCAGAGATATCATTTCTAGCTTTCAATAAAAACTTACAAGGCCTGCTGAAAGTCAAGAAAAATAACAGTCTGAAACAGCCCAAATGCCCATCAACCGACAAAGATAAAGATGGATGAAGATGTGTTTTTTCAAATACAATGGAATACTACTCTGCCATAAAGGATGAGCTTCAGACATTTATAGCTACATGGATGTACCTTGAGACTACACTGTTAAGTGAAATAAATTGACACACATTTGAGTGCCACATTGTTTCTCTGGTGTGAGAAATGGAAAGTGTAAATAAGGACTAAAATTGGGAGACTGGATCAGTAATGTTCAAAAGTTGTGGGTTTCTTCCTATTCTGGGCAAGGAGGAGAGGTCATTCCTATGTCTGGGACTGAATGAATGTTTGAGACTTTGCCTAATGGGAAAGACATCTTTGGAATGGCATTTCCTAAGTCACGGGGAAGAATCCACAAAGATGACTAGATGGGGGCTGTGTTTAAGAATGGTGCCTTTGAAATATCAGTGATCCCAGAGTCTGGTTATCTACCCAAAGGCCTGCATTTTAGCTTTTTTTTAACATCCACTTAATCTGGCAGTCTGAACCCTTTTCCCAAGCTGAACTCTTGACTTTCATGCTCTGAGAAAATATCCCACAGGACTGGGCCCTCTATAACCATCTGTCTTCCTTCTAATCTATGTAAATTTCTGCAGTGGCTATCTTATATAAAACACAGCAAAAATTTATTGTACATAATTTCTATTAAATGTTAAAGAAAACATGAAAAAAAGAAGATAGAGAAACAGGAAGTAGGGAGAAGTTCTAATAATTCCGCAAATTATATATTCAGTGGTTTCAAAGATATTTCAATATATACACTAATTTGTTTCATAGTTCATTGAAAAGAAAGTTTTGTGCTATTACCTATTTTTTTGTTTTTTGTAAGAGTCTTTTTTGTCTATGACTTGTATTCTAACATTTTGGCCATTCTTTTAAGATTCTGGTACACAGTGTATTAACTAATATTATTCTTTAATTTGTTATGAAATTTTGCTTTATTTTTTCCTAGAAGAAGACTATTTTTAAAAAATATTTTCATGGTCTGGGGATTTAGCTCAGTGGCACCACACCTGTCTTGCAAGCACAAGATCCTGATTTTGATCCCAGGTACCAGAAAAAAAATTTTTTTTCTTTATTAATATCTATTTGTATTACACTGAAATAAAAATAAAATGTCAGATGTAAAAAATAAAAGTAACAATCTGAAGAAACAAAGCAAGCATTAAATCTAGGCTCAGACATGATAGAGATTCTAGAATGATCAGATACAGAATATATTTGAGCCAGGGCCAGGGATTTAACTCAGTGGTTCCACCACCTGCCTCGCAAGTGTAAGGTCCCAAGTTCAATCATCAGTACCAAAAAAAAAAAAAAAGGAATATATTTGAGCCAAAATGCATCATCAAACAAAATGATCTCACATTTATAAAATACTGCATCCAATACTTCATCCAGCAGGACACACATTCTGTTCTACTCACATGGAACATTCACAAAGGTAGACTGCATTCTGGATCATAAAACACATCTTGACATAGTTAAGGAATAGAAATCATATGAAGTATGCTCTCAGACAATTGAACTGAAACAGGAATCAATAATCCAAAGATGGCCAAAAACTCCCCAAAATATGTGACAATTAAAAGCACATTTCCAAATAACACATGGGTCAAAGAAGAAGTTTCAAGAGAAATTTTAGAGAATAATTGAACTGAAGGAAATTGAAAAGGCTGGGGAATGTAGCTTAGTGGTAGAGTGCATGCTTAGAATGCAGGAGGCCCTGAGTTTGATCCTCCAATATGCCCCAAGTAAATAAATAAATAAATAAATAAATAAGAAATCAAACTTTGTGGAATTCAGCAAGAACAGTGCTTAAGGGAAAGTTCACACATGAAATGTACCTATTAGAAAAGAAAGATCTAAAATCAATATCTAAGCTTATAACTAAGAAAACTAGAGAAAGAAAAGCAATGTAAGGCTAAATTAAGCAGAAAGAAATGAAATATCAAAAATTAAAGTAGAAATCATGAAACTGAAACCATCAAGTCATTAAAACAAAAGCTTCTTCTTTAAAAAGATCGATGTAACTGATAAACTTCCTCCTAGGCTAACCATGGGAAAAGAGGGAAGACACAAATTGCCAATACCAGAAATAAAAGAGGAGCCACAACTTCTGGTCTTAGAGAGGGTAAAAGGGTAATAAAGGAATAAGATGAACAACTCTATGCACACAAATCATAGCTGCGATGAAGATAACCCCTCCCAGAGTGCACTGCTATTGTCTATCGTTATGTTGCTGTTGCTGCTGTTTGGTGACTTTCCAGGATGAGTTCTCTTTGTGTGTAGTCACTGGTGTCTCTGCTCAGTTAGCCAAAGAGCCCCATAATGACTGCACTGAGATTTTCTTTCTTAAACACTTTAAACCAGTAAGAGTGCCAGCCTTTGCAGAGGGTCTCTATGAGCTTGAGAAATGCCTTCGGTGCTCCACCAGGAAGTTTACAGCCCTGCCTTAGCTTTCCTTCTCGTACTTGAATAGAGAGCCTCAGCATCAGCTAGAAGTGAGAGACTGGGACCTTCTCATGTCTTTCCTGGGCATACGCACAGCCCTTGTAATGGCCATGACCTTTGAGATTCCCAGGAAAATGTTAGAGCTTTCCAAAACCCCCATGAGGCATCTCATGTGCACCTTCCTTTTAAATTTTGGTCAGCCCCTTGTAATTCCCAAGTGACATTGCTGTCATAGCTGCCATGATGTTAAACAACTGCCACTGATCACTTCCAACCAACACCAAAGGAATAGGGCTCTTCATACACAGTGAGCTCTGACTCAGGTCAAGTGAAGATAAGCTTGGAATGGAACTTTCAGGGAGCCATGACATAAGTGAAGTGGTGACAGTTCCTTAAGGATGGAGCTTCAGGGGAGCTCCAAACACATTATATCCTCCAGTAACTGTTAGGCAACTCATCATCACAGCTACTATCACTCCAAGGCTGTTGGTTTTCAAGACTAGTGAAGCTGGAACAAGGAGGATGACAATAGAACAAGTTAAATACCATGAAGCTCTAATTTTCTTAAATAAGCACACCTAAGACTGTTGTAGGCCTTTAGTTAATGTCTCTCCATAAAAGTTTATTTTAACCATTTTTTCCAGTATTCTCATTGCTTTAATGGAGTAAGCAGGCTTTTGGAGGCCTTCACTCTGCCATCTAAAAGGGCTTCTCTCCAATTCCCCATTTTACTGGTATAGAAACTAAGGAAGGTGATTTGTCCAAGTTAATGAAGTGCTATGGTTTAGATTTTAAATGTTCCCCAAAGACCCAGGAGCTAAAGCATTGGTCCCTAGCCTTTAGGGACAACCCCGGTGAGATCCCTGTGTACAATAAACTCTTACCCTTTGTAGTGTGGCATACTGCTTCTCTGCCCTTGTGTTATTTCAACAGCCCCATCATGAGACCTTGATAAAAACCACAAAAGTAGAATGTTTGCACAGAAGATAGAATTGTTACCAAGGCCAAAACCTAAATGAAGTCTATAGCTAAACTTGCTGTTAGTTGACTTAAAGATCATTAATTTTAGAGATCACACAGCAGAGCAATACATCATTAGTTTCCCACTAATATTTTTATTTTTTTATTTTTTTGGTACCAGGGATCAAACTTGGGTCCTTGCACTTGTGAGGCAGGCAGCAGAACCACTGAGCTAAATCCCTGGCCCTAGTTTCCCACTAATATACAGATAACACCTCCATCATGTGGCTTGTTATAACAGTTGTCTAGGTTTCCTTCCAGGGCCCTGAAGGCCACTTCTGCTGGAAACACTGACTCTTCACTTGAGCCTGTAGATAACACCTCCAGCATGTGGGCTATGGTAACAGTCCAGGCGGCACTTTCCAGGTGCCAAAACAGTAACTCTTTATTTGAGCTTACATATGTCTTGACAGGTGAATAGGATAAAAGGCTTGGCTTTTGTCTTCATATTGCACAAGTCCCCTTTGCTGCCTTAACTTTGAGTCAGACTCAGCTCTGCATTTAGATATGTTAGTTGCCCAATAAAGTTGGCAGCCCAAGCACCTAAAGTCCTTTAGCACTGTCTGAAGGCCTAGACTGAACCACAAGGTCAGGTGTCTCCCCAGGATGATGGCACCAGCCATAAGTCAATTCCTAGGACAAGTTGATTGAGACTACCCAGTGGCCGTGGCCCAAAATATGCACGAAGGCAAACATCCTTTTGAAATCAAGTCCCTGGCCAATGGAAAACTTTAGCCCGCTGCAGCAAATCAATAAAAACTTGCCTTTCCCTTTGTTTAGTCTGATCTGTCTCTTAATCAGTACTGCCTCCTTTCAGCTCCAGCTGAAGTCAGGGAGCTCGAGCTAAAGTACAGGTGAAGCATTGCCTGTGTGTGTTCCTGACATTTGGCTCCATTTGGTTTCTATCATTTCCATGCCAAAAGATTTCATCCCCAATAACAATCTCATGGCAATATTGGGAGATGGTGGAACCTTTAAGGGGTGGGGCCTGTGGAAGGAAGTCAGGTCACTGGAGGCTGCTGGTAAATAGATATGAGGGTAAAGGACTTTTCCTCCTTACTCTTCCTCCCAGCTGCCATGAAGTAAGCAGTTTCCTCTGCCATGGGCTCCTGCCAAGATGTGCTGCCCTCAGCACAGGCCCAAAAGCAACAGGGCAAGTGTGCATGGACTAAATACTCTGAACCAAAATAAATCTTTCCTCCTTTTAGGCTGATTTATCTCAGTTATCTGTGACAGCAACAGGGAACTGACTACTATGGGAAGCTAATGAAAGAATCTAACAGAACAAAACCCTGCCTCTGGCTTCTCTGTCCTGAATTCTGGGTTAGAATCACTTGAGGGAAGAAGAGAATTTATTTTGAAAAGTCCACAAAAGGAAATAACTTTCCCCTATCTCCGTGTATGCTGCTGTTATCAGTGGCTACTTCACCAGCACGAGGCCTTACACTCAGGAGGCTCATGGGGAAGAGAGGAGAGACAAACTTTAGTGAAAGTTGAAGAACTAAAAGGTGCCAGAAAGAATTTGGGATTAAGCACAAGACAGAAAAACACCTTCCCCACTTAAGCCCTGGGTAGAAAGGGATGGGTGAGGTCACATGCATCAGGCCACCCAGTAACATTTCCACTAGGGCACCAGTGGGAGCTCTGCTACAAGGACAATAAGCCAAAGAGAGTGCCACTCTCCTCATCCCTGGACATTGACAGGAGAAGCAGCAGACCCCAGAGTCTACTCTGAGTCTACACTCACTAGTTCCAAAGACAAAGAAGGGGCTAGGGATTTAGTTCAGTGGTTCCTGTGCCTGCCGCGCAAGCGCAAGGTCCCAAGTTTGATCCCTGGTACCAAAAAAATAAAAAAGAAAACAAAACTCAAAGAAGAAGCCCTTGTCCGGGAACTCCTCCAACAGCCCCTTGACTAGATGCCCCCTCCTCTCACTGCACTTGTAGATGAGCTCACGCCAGACATAGCTGTAAATCTCCTGGGTCGTGATGTGCTCCTGGGGCAGAAGGGTGGCATTAATGAAATTGGAGACCTCCACCAAGAGAAAATGAAAACAGAGGTAACCAGTTATTAACAAAGCTGCTTCATCTGAGCATCAAATTCCATGGCCAGGATGGCAAGACACTGTCAAGAGAAGAGAAGGAACACAGCATTCTCAGTCTCCTGTCTGCCATGTTGTCAACTATAATCTCATGGTCTGTAACCAAAGTAAAATATATATATACACATATACATGTGTGTATGTGTGCATATATATATATATATATATATATATATATATTAACTGACGTGCACTGAAAGAACTCTTAGGCTACTTAAAGTAGTACTTCCATTCTGATTGGTGCCGCATGTTTATATAGCTATGTCTTTGTGGGCTCCCATCTGTCTTCCACAGCATCCTTGTACATGAGGACACTGGTCCTGGAGAGGGAGACAAAACACTGCCCTCTCTCAGAAGCTGGGCTGCCACTTGCTGCTTCCACATGATCCTAGTTGTGGGGCAAGGATTCCAGGGCTTGTCCCATGGGAAGATTGCTGATAGAAGCATAACAAGTATCTGTCCCACCTCCCTCCTATTGGGAGACTGCAGCCACATGCTTCCCCTTGATGGCCCACAGGAAAAGCCTGTCCTGGGTACACACTGATGCTGTGGCTCAGCAATCCCTCATCCTGCAATGCTGTGGGATGGAATTATCCCTGTCTGCAAATGCTGGCAGTCTTCCCACACTTATGTGCCACCCCTGTAAATCTACCACAAACATGAACAGTTGCGGTGTCATCACAGATTCCTAGAAGCCACTGAAAGCTGCAAAGTTTTGCTCCATCATTTCTCCAAAGTGTCAACTAAGTCAGCTAGGAGGCCATCAGACATGAATCTCTCCCCATCCCTGACAGCTGCCTGTTGCTGATTCCTCTGAAGCTTCATCTTTGAACTGGGACCTGGATTAACCCTGATCCGTGCCCTCTCTGCTCTTAAAAGCTTCCTAAAGAATGCCTCTTTAGAGGTGGCATCTCGTTCAGTGACATCTAAAACTGCCCAATTTTATTTTTAGAGCCTGCCTGCCCCCAGTCCTTTGTACACAGGACATCTAGGTGTCAGTGGGTCATGTCTTTGTTCATGGGCTCCACAGAGGGCAAGGCCCCTCACCTGGGAGCTGTCATGGCTGAAGATGACAGAGCTGAGGTCCCCACAGTTAGAGTGTTTGATGAGATCCTCTGTGACATAAGGGATCTGAAGCCTGCCCACTCGCAGGCTCTCCTGCTGCAAGAGGGTCTGGTTCAAACCAAAGAAGACCTAAGAGAGAAGGGAGAAAACACAGGTCCCTTTTGAGTTCACTGGCAAGGCAACCGTTTGCTTATAGCCTCACCTCTGTCCTCATTAGGTAAGGACACTGCTGCTAAGAACAAGGGGGACTGTGAATCCTGGATGGTCCAGAGAAAAGGACAGTCCTGCCCAAATCAGCCCAAACAGATGCCACTTGGGGAACTGCCCTAAGAGGGACACAGACAGACTGGAACTCTTCCTAAGAATGACCAAGGGCTGAGGAGACCTGAGAGCTGGCATGTGAGGAATGAAGGGCTGAAGAAGGCAGGAGGTGGGGCAGAGAGGGTCCTGGGGACACACAAACAGACCCACACACCACTGGGTTCCAACTACAGAAAGGCCTGGAGCCAACAGATACAACAGGGCTTTCCAAGTTCTCAGTGCAGCAATGCCAGCTGATGGAGTCATTAGAGCTATGGGATATTAAGGAAAAGCAATTTGGGAACAAAGGGATTATACTTAAGGAACTTCTGAGTCTTTGACACACTAGTATGCAGTGTGATTTTTTCTGAGCAGGAAAAGAGTATGTGAGGTTTCCAAATTTACTTGAAGTACATATCACAAGACAAATGTTCATTTATGAGGACAATCTAGATTCGAGGAATTTTTCTGAGCTGGGAATTCTTCCTGGCACTGGAGAGCAGGTGAGAGAGAGGTGATTGTGACATCAGATGGGGATTGGGACTGCCACCTCCATGAGGCTCCCAGAAACACTTTAGATCCTGTGGCACTTTCTAGTTCGCCCCAGTACAGATGCAGACATGTAATCTCCGACAGCTGCTTTTGCACCTGCTGCTCAGGTATCCCATGTGCAGGACACTGCTTGGCTGAAATATTCTTTCCTTTGCTGAAACACAAACATGCTCAGTCCACCTGAGCACGCTGACCATGAGCACTCTCCAAAGACAACACAGCAGAGGTCTCGAGTCACCAAGGAACCCAACCCAGCTTAGGATCTTCTATCACACATTCTCCTCCCCATTTTGATTGTCAAAGGGACCAAGAGGTTTTGTAATTTGCTCTCCACAGGCTACTTCAGCATGGACTCACCTATGTGCATGCATCTTGTCTCAGTCCATCTGTGCTGACACAACAAAACACTATGACTGGCCACACTTCCTCGAAAGGGCAAGGTCCTGAGCTCAATCTCTCATACCAAAATAAATAAATAAATAAATAAATAAATAAATAAATAAATAAATAAATAAATAAAACACTAAGACTGGGTAATTCATAAGGAATAGAAGCATGTAAAGTCCAAGATCAAGACATCAGCATGTGGTCTGGTAAAGGCCTTCTTGCTGTGTCCTTACATAGCAGAAAATAGAAGAGCCAGCCCAGGGCACAGTGAAGCCACTTCCATGAGAGCCTTAACCCTTTCCCAAGGGAAGAGCTGCCATGGCCTAATCCTTCCCTAAACGACCCACTGCTTTATGCTATCACATAATAATTTAGGCAGCAGCTAAATTTCACAGGGGACACATTCAATCCCCAGCACCTCTCTTTCTACCCTCCAACCTCCCTCAGTTACTCTAATAGTTGCTGTTCCTGTCATGCACCCTTAACCCAAGGCTAGGGGCAGATCCTTTTTTGTAAAAGCCCCTCCCTCCTCTCTTCTCTGACACCCTCCCCTTCTCTCTCCAAACAGCCCCCCCCCAGCCTCTCCTGGGAGACTGCTCCCCTGGGCTCCGCAGACCAGCTTCTTCTATTTAGGGACCTTCTGGGCCATATTGTCCCACCCTCTCATCCCTGCATGGGTGAAGCCAGAGCTGAGCCAGCAGCCTGCTAGGTTGTGCAGGATCACAACCCATAATGGCAGAGAATGGCTAATGACTTCAGATTAACTGAAGGAACAAACTTTAGCAGCCCAGAAGGGGCATTAGGAGGCACTCACCAGGTATGTCAGGCCCCAGCCAAGGTCTCAAACAATTGTCTCAATCTAACTCATCCAGGCCACATTCTCAAAGTCTGGCTGGGTCACACAAATGCCTGCTGCTGGGCTTTGCTGCTCTCCTAAGCTTTGGACACATTTGGGCTGCCTGCTGCTCATACACCTTCCTCCAAGAGCAGTCATGGATGTTTCCATTGTTTTGAAGGTTTTCTTGGCACTTGGAGAAGTGTGAGCCACTCACTCTAATAGACATGCCAGTCTGCAAACTAGGGAGACCTGTTTCAGGCACATCACAGATTAAACAAGAATTCGATTTATTCAGTCCAGCCTCGACATACTCATATGTCAAATTCACCTTGAGACATTTCCCCTTCCCATGAGAAGCTTATAAAACCTTGTTAGAATGTTTGTCTTTTATGTTTATTTTTGACGGTTAAGCTTTAAGAAATTTATATCCCAGAACTAAGCTAATAACAATAATTTTTTAGTGTTTAGTAGGTACCAGGGCCATGCTACGTGCTTAGTTTATCTTCTCACTAATCTCCTCAATATCTTAAGATGACAACTGTTGGTAAGCATATTTTAAAGATGAGTAAAATAAGGCTTAAAAAAGAGACCTCAAACAACTTGTTTACAGTCACATATCTTGGCAAACCAAGGTAGAGTTTGACCTTCACTAGTATGTTGTATGTTAGGGTATGGTTCTACCAAGTGGCAATAATTGGCTTTTGGTAGGTAGTCTATTTTAAATTGTTGGCAATTGAAACACCACTTGCTGGTCTTCTTTCTTCTGTACACTTCCTTCTTTCCTACTTTTGTGTACTATGTCCCATGATATTAAAATGGTCAATGGGAGTTTAGTGCATTATGATGATTCCAGGTGTCAAACATTTCCCTATTCAAGATTATAGACAGTCCCTGGCAAAAGATGGACATCCAGAAAGTGCCCATTAATGAGAGTTCCCTGATCTTGTGGTCTTCAAGGATCAGAAGACCTTTGAACAGCAGAATCAGGTGAAAGACACAGGCAAAGACCAGAAAAATACCAATAGTGATTCTGGGTTACTCTAGGATTCTGGAAAATGAGTAACAGGACAAATATCATCAAGAATATCTATGACAACGGGGTGGATGGTAAAAGATGTTATAAATGTTCATCCTGGTCAACTAACAAAAAACAGAAAGAATCAATGCAAGTTACAGTGCTAAATGATCCTGAAGTTTGTCCACTCATTCCTTCTTCCATTCATAAATTCAGTCAATAAATAGTTGCAGGGCCAGGGATTTAACTCAGTGGTTCCAGCACCTGCCTCACAAGCACAAGATCCCGAGTTCGATCCCCAGTACCAAAAAAAAAAAAAAAATAGTTACTGCAGAGCTACATTTAAAACACTGGAGAGATAGCACTGAACAAGGAGGCCAAGATCCTTGTTCTTATGGATCTAAAATTTGACCTAGAAGAGTGGATGCTGTAATGAAGAATCCAGGAAAGAGGGGTGGAAAGGAAATCTGGTGTATCACAGAAGCCTCTGAGAAGAGAATAAAAGGCAGAGGCCCAAAGTCAAATGTTTAATCAGTGATTTCAAACTTGTCAGGGTGGCCCATACACAGGCACACAGAGAGGTCACCTTGGGTCACCATCAGGCCACACTAGGAACAGGTATCTTTCAAGGAAGCTTCAACATTGGACTGTGGAGCAGAATGGGTGCCAAAACTCTTTTGTTGCTAAACACAAGAGAAATGTGTGTTTTCCATCTCTAATACAACTTCCAGTAATTGCCATAAGACTCCCTCTACAGCTGCTGCAAATGCTCCAAGCAACTGCCCAGGGAAGCATGGTTTTACCATCGTCTTTCTAATCCCTAACCTCTTCTGGAAGGCCTTAAGCATCTTGCAGATTAAAACCCAGCCCCAGATAAACTGAGAACTAAGACGTCAAGACACCAGCTGAGCGATGAGGGACTGGGTCCCCTGGGCTGGAAGAGCAAGGATCCTGACCCCATGCTGGTACATCCCAAACACAGTAGTTGCTCTCTCTCCACTAAAAGCCAGAGGAAAGCTCAGGAAAGGGGCTCAAGGACAGTGTGGCCCAAGGTCATAGAGGAACCAGCCAACTCCCATATCCCACTCTGGCTTAACAGGGACATGGTGATGACTAAAGCATTGCATATGCTTAAAGGGGAAAATGTGAGACTGAACAACAGTTACTCCATTTTGTAATAGGGCCCCAACTTGTCTGCTTCTGTTATGGATCACCAGGTAGACATCGAGTTCCAGGGATGTGCTTGGTGTTGTGCCAGGAAGGTCTGTTGTGTGCGTAGTGTTCCATCATGCTTGCCCAACTCCATATCTGAATATGTTATTTTAAGAACAATCTGTAAAAGGTCTGTTTTATCCCTCTCCTCCGCTTTTGTATTTCTGCTTGCCAACTTCCCTCTAACATCTCCTATAAAAGGACCTCAGGCTCTGAGCCTTTTGCCTCTCTAAGCTTGGAGCTTGGAGAGTGCCGTCTGGCCAGACTAATAAAGGTCTGTTTTACAACTTATCCGGTGTGTTCCCTCCTGGATGATCTTCACTGTAGTCAGCTCCTCAGAGCATTTGGTAAGGCCCACGGTCTTACAAAAGCTCTTCCTGATACAAACTCAGCCTCCTTGAACAAAGACTGAAGATAGGTTCTTGAAGGAAAAGTCTGAGTGAGGTCAAAGGGCTCTCACAAGGCTTCACTGCACCCAGAATACCCTCTATGAATCAGGGTGCTTGCCAGCCTGCCATGCTGCACAACCAGAGGGGCGGGTCACTGTCATTCAAGCTTCCTCCCACCCCTATGCTGGCAGCCCTGCAGCTGTGCCCAACAAGATCCCCAGGAAGTTTTCCTAGAAGTGTCTCCTTCAGGGCAAACCTTTGACCAAGCCCCTGGGGGAGCCATTTATGGAGAGAGGAGGAAACTCGCCTTCCACTGAGGTGCCAAATCCAGGACAGCCTGGTGTACTGAGATCTCCACAGCACAAAAAGCAATGCACAGCCCCGAACTCACCCCAGCTAACATCACTGCAGCCTGGACACAGCTTTCTCAGGCACCACTGCAACATCTTGGAAGGTCCCCTCTCTGGCAAGACAAATGACTGGTTGTTTTAAGTGATTTTCTCTTTTTGCTGTGCTTGGTGAAGCCTGAGCCAGCCTGAAAACTTTGGAGTTTCAGGATGTGCCTTGCAGTTATAGGTATATTCCTCAGAAACAGCTCTAGTAAGCTGACCCCAGACGTCTTCCATCCTGGATGGGGCATGGTCACTGACTGATTCTTCCAGAGCACAACAGGACTGGTCACAGTGAACACATCTGGGACACCAGGACTGTTCCTAGAGAACCCAAATGCCAACAGCAGGGGTCAGGTGGCCAGAGAGGAGACAGGACCAGGAAGACCCAGCTGTGTCCACCCACTCACTGCCCCCTCACCTTCTCTATAACCAACTCCCAGCTGCCCACTGCCTCCTTTTTCCTTCCTTTGCAGCTTCTGCTATTTTCTCACATTTGTGTTGGGTTCCTAAGGCTCCTGTAACAGAGTTCCTCAGACAAACTCACTTTGGCTTCAGACATGGATTTCCACAGTAATGCCACTGCAAGTTTAAGATCAAGGTGTAGGAGGGTCAGCTCCCTCTGGAGGCACCAGGTCTGGTCCATGACTCTCCCAGCTTCTGGTCCTTTGTTTGTCTGTGGCTACCCAACTGTAGTCTACACAAGAATTTCTTTGTCTCTGTGCTCAAATTTCTCCTTATAAGGACACAGTTATTTTGGGTTAGGGACCACACTACTGACCTCATCCTACTTTCATTGTCTGCAAAGACCCTGTGTATAAATATAGACACATTGTGAGGTACAAAGGGCTAGGACTTTAGCATATGACCCTGAAGGGGGTGAGGGACATAACCCAACCTATAACACAGGTCAATCTCAACTGTACTTTTTTATAGTCAATATGCATATGACAGAAGTTTGAAATAATATAAAGAAATAGATCTCCCTCCAATCACTGTTCTTTAATCACTTCCCCTAAAAGCAACCACTGCTGCCAGTGACTTGAATCTCCTTCCTTGGACAATCGCCACAGACAGATGGACAATCAATACACCAATGGACTGATGGAGAGACGGAGAGATAGATACATAGCATTATTTCTTCTAGTTCCTTGTTTTTGCCTTTTGGCCTTTAAGTAGTCAATAAAAGCCTTTCTGAGAACAAACAGGGAACTAATACGTACATTATAATGTGAGATAGACCAAACGAGAATAAAAAGTCAAAGTCTGGCAAATGGCTATCCTCTCTGGCTTTGGAAGGAAATGCAGCCTAAGATATCCTTCTCCACGAGACATCAATGACCACGGCAACTCAAAGAAAGGAAGTGGCAAGCTTCTGACTTCAAGAGAGGACACAATTAAGGTTCCCTGCAGCCCTTTAAATGAGCAAGCAAGTCAGGTCAGCAGCTCCTTAGTGCAGACACCCAGAGATGTCCCCTCTTCCCCCAACCCTACCCCATTCCAGGACCTCTGCTGTGGGCTCAGACTGTCTCTGGAGAACTCCAAGAAGAAATATAGGCAGATTTCAACAACTCAAGAGTTCAGAAAACCCAACAAAGATTCAGGCTCATTTCTCCCAGATCTCACACTACTCTCCTCTGCCAAATACAGCACCCAGATGTCTTAGTTCTCCCTGAAACCTACTAAGCCAGTGTTTTCCCAAAGCACAGATTGCAACTCACTGTCCATCACCCATTCACTCCTCTGCAGTTCAATGATTTCCTACCTTGGGCATCAGCCTACATAGTGCATCCAAGGTCACTCAATGGCCATGTATTCACCATGACAAACACAGGCACCAACCTTTGTTGGGCAACTTCTGTAATCACAGCCATGCTCCTAAGAATCTCTGCCTACATCACTCCCAGGCAATTCCAGTCAGCAGGTAGGCCTGGAAAGCACAGAGCTGAGAAAGCACACTGAAAATCTGAAGAAATGAACAGCTAACAAGTTCAACTGTTCAAGTATGGAATTCTTCTAGACTGCCGTGGGCATGTGCCATGCTAGTCAATTCCTGCCTCAGGTCTCCATGGGACCTGAATGCCAATTCCCTACACCACTCTTCTCCAGCCTGACTCAGCCTCACCAGGAGGGATGTGGGCTGTCAGGGTGCTGACAGATGCAGCCAGCATGCTTCAGCTGATAATATTGTTTTCTACAATTTTTCCATAAAAATGTATACCTTTCCATGGACTAGCTAGAAACCACTATCTAAAGTGTTAGAGGAAATAAAAAGGATCAAGATGTGGTCTATTTATGTACCAGTTCCCCATAATGACTGTATTTATGATGTATCATATACTAATAAAAAAGGGAAGAAAAAATAAGTGTTATTTCAAAAGAACTCCACATTCTAAGCTCCCAAGTACAGCTTTTGGAATGCCCGGGGAAACTCTGAGGAGAAACCCCTTTAATGCCTCTCCTATGGTTAGCATCTTGCCAAGCTTCTTGCACTGACACAGCTCTCAGTAATTCTCTCAAACAAAAATTGCCAGGCAGCTGATGTCCTCACACAGATCCTTCCCCTTCAACTGTCAATCTTAGTAGCACCAGAGGACAAAGCAAAACACACTAGGGAAGAAAAGGTGAAAAAGCACTGAAATATTAGACCTCAAGCAATCTGGAGATGGATAGACCAAGATCAAAGTCATTGGCGTAATGTATTTACAATAATAATAATAATGGCAGCAGACAGGCAGCCACCTGGTTCCACACTACAAAGACACAGAGGACACCAGACCACCAGACCAAGGTACTGAGTCCCGCTGTTCCCGGCCCAGAGGTAGGGGCTTCTGAGCC